TAGACTTTCCTGTGGAAATTCATGAAGGATTTATCTCTCCCACTGCTTTTTTTTTTTTTCAGACAGTGTTTGCAAGACTTCAGACTGCATAAAATCAGGTAAGAATAAATGAAAATGTGTAGGTTTTTAATTGAATACAACATTGTCCTTTTGAAATTCATTATTGATTATCACTCGCATTTTCTTAAATTTTTCCAATTTCTGAACTTTCTTCCCCCATCACAGATGTATTATTTATATGGTTACACTTTAGCTAAGTGCTGTTCTGTGACTATATGGGACAGGACTGGGTGTGCTGGCAGCTAGAGAAGGTGACAGGGATGGTGCACGGGGGTGTGGGGCTGCTAGCTTTCCCAAGCTCTCCTGGGCTTCCAGCGCCCCGTGCACCATCTCTTCTGCCTTTTCTGTCCACCAGCACACCCAGCCACCTTCCTGCTGCCTCCCTGCACTGCCCCAGGGGCAAGCCAGCCCATTCACTGGCAACCCCAGACATCTTGCCGGCCACAGGAGCCTGCTGAAGGCAGAAGCAGTGAGGGGCCTAATCCTTTTTTCTCTATGCAGCCTGCCTGCCTCTCCCGCAGCTGTGGGGTGAGCTGACAGATTAATGGCACAGATTAATAGCCAACTGGCCACGGGAAAGGCTCCACCAGAAAGAAAAAAGGATCCAGCCCCTTGCTACTTCTGCCTTCAGCAGGCACCTGCAGCCCTCAGGATAATATCATATATACAGTGACAGAAAAATAAAACCCACCATTTCAATTAAAAACTCACCGTTTGAATGTAGGGGGGCATAGAGTGCAACCCTATGGACTAAAACTCCATCGCATGTACAAGCAGCCTATGAGGGTGGTTAAGCGTTGGAAAAAGCTACCTAGAAAGATTGTGGAATCTCTGCCCTTGGAAGTTTTCAAGAGGAGGTTAGAGACTTGGCTGGGATGATTTCATCACAGAAGATCCTACTTTATGCAGGGAGCTGGACTAGATGACCTCATGAGGTCCCTTCCAGTCGTGCTTTTCTATGACCTGTTCTCAAAAAAGGCACTTAAAATATTGATTTCAGCTGCAAGTTAGTAAATATTTTCATATTATACATTTTAATTCATGAAAAAAATAGCAATAGTAAGTGGGTTAACTTCCTTTCTTAGGTATATTAAAGCCTCCATCCTGATCCCAAAGCATGGGCCCTCATTGTTGAGCTTCTTGTAAAATCAACTCCTCTGAACTTGTCTTGTGTGTATTGATTTGTTTTTTATAAATTTAAATTCTGGCACCATTGAAGTCAATTGAAAAACTCCCACTGTCTTTATTGGTTCCAGCATTTCATTGTGTATCTTTAAGAATAATTACGGTATAATTTGTGACAAGCCCTTTATAGGCACTCAGGAGTCACTAGCAGTAAAGAGAGTTCATCTGAGTACTTTCTTTCACTGAAAAAGCCCATTCTATCTTAAGGCAAAGGAAGTAGCAACTGAGTACTTCAAAGAGAAGCAATAACATTTCATATGGGGAAGCAAGAACCACTTGTTCCTTCATTTGACTAAAACCTGATCCACATAGGACAGAAAGGAAGTACATATGGCACGGCTGTAGAGGATGCAGCAAACACACTTGCTCTGAATATTCATAATGCTTTCCAGAGGTATTGTACTGACTTGGGTACAGCGAGCAATATGCTGACCATACATAAGTCCATCAGAGTTTCGTCATTAACTCTTGTAGGGCCAACCTCCTTTAATGTCCCTGGGAGAGATCATTTAACAGTGCAGCATTTTACAGCCACAATCTAATTTGTCTGGTTTTGCATTGGCTTTCAAAAGTAAAATTACCATGTCTCTTCAACTGGTCAATACTGTTCTGTTGCGTTTGCCTGAGTTAGATTGCCCTATATTGGAGTAGAGGCCTTATTTTAGGAGACATGCTTATTCTTAATGACCCATTAAAAACAAAAAAACAACCCCTCCCCCACTCTGAAAAATAGTTTTTTCAGGTTTTTCTCATTGTAAAGGAACCAGTGCAATGGAAAGCACAACATCAGGCATGCGTACTTCTGGCAGCAAATCAACAGCTAGGAATAAAACAGTGTGCTTAAGCTAGCTATAATAGAGAGAAGACTAACATTAGTCAAGGGTGTTATCAAGTCTGATTTCTTAAATATACACACACACTATGAAAATATTATGAATTTAGTTGGCTCTTATGAATAATACATCTCCTGCCAAACAGGCGCCAGAGAAACCTTGAGGCCACATTATACCATCATATGTTGTGTGTTCTTCTTTCAGTGAAGTCTCGTGGCCTGTTTAGCAGTAGGCCAGACTATGTGATCGCAATGATCCCTTCTGGACTTATCAGTTATGAATATGCCATAGACTTTACAGAAAAACTAATTTTTGTAGATTTTACAACTTGTTAAAACTATATTGCTTGTTCTTTTATCTATAAAGCCATGTGACACCACTTTCTAAGCTGTATAGGCCTTTGGTAAGGGGGAATATAGAAATGAATAACTTCATAAATAATTTAAAGTATTTCTAAAATACCTTCATGTTATGATATCAAAGTGAGATACTTCAGTACCTTCTCTTAGTCATTATCTAATCTCAGTTATAGCTCTGCTGAGTTATGTAATAGTAAACAGTAAACTTGTCACTAGCCTTTCCCATGTGGGTTTCAGAAGGTGGTCTTGGGGGGCCGGGGGGAGGGGATATTCATATTCTAGGAAGACTCCTTTGCAAAGGAATTTTAAGTCAAAAACTTCTGAATCAGATTGTTGAAAAAGCCAGTAACAGTCCTAACTAGTTGCATGGTTTTGTTCACTCCAGGTAGGCATGGCACATTTCAGGTCTGTGATAGGATTACACATATAATTTTTTTAGCATATTTCTGGAACTGTAAAGCCTTGTGATGTGACATTGTCAGTTCTTGTAAGCTCATGGAGTCAAGCTAGGTCACTACTTGGATGTAAAATCTCACAGGAATAGTTACAGCTGCAGAAAATAGTTTTAGTGATTCAGAAAGTGGCCCTTTCTCCTCTGAGTCAGTATTGAACTAGTGCCCTAGCATGGTGCTAAGAGACATTATGCTGCTATAGAAGATGAGATGTGAAACCAGTCTTGACCACTGACAGCCATTAAAAATCACGGTGGCATTTCCTGAGTAGAAGCGGTATTGCATCCTGGATGAATTCCAACTTTTACACTCTGCCAGCCTAATTTTATTCTTCATGTCAACCTATATAGAATTTTGGTTCACTTTGGGCATGTCTGCATGTTTATTAATACACTTTTGCTACTGCACATTAAATTTAGTACCTCTAATATGAGGTACTAAATAAATTCATATTAGGCTGCCCTAATGCTCAGGAGCAAAAGTGTATGCTATTTTAGTGTGCATTAGTGTATTAGCACAGTTTTTGACTTTACGCTTTAATGAGTAGTAAAATAGGCTACATTAAAGCAGACATGAAGATGTGCTCCTCCTGTTCTAAACTCCAGCATAGAGCTACTAAAAACTGTTAAACTATTGCTGTGTTTTGCCATAGAGATACCTAGTTATTCTGGCTCCCTCCTTCCCCAGTCCAGTTAGTGTTGGCCATCTTCACTTCTCCAAATCAATTCTGGCCTCCAGGTCACCAAATTGTGTATAATATCCCAACTGTTTTCCCAGTATAATTGATGTGAAGCCCCACCTCTCCAACTTGACTAATACCAGCTGGACCCAGATTTTGTTTTAGCTACTGCCTCCAAGTTCCAGAACCCTGATCCTCTCTCCTTACTCTGCTCTCTGCACATGTTTTCACAGCATCTGAACTTCAGCTCACAAAAACGTCTGTGATACAGATACCGATACATATACTTTGGTTAGTCTCTAAGGTGCAGATCTACCCTGCCTCTCTATTCAGAGGTACAGAGCCCTGTGAGGGAAGGGCTAGAATCAGCAGAGAGACTTTTTGATAATTTCTGCGGATGGGAGGGAGAGGGCTATACTGACACACATAGGTTTGTAGTTTGGCCACTGAAATATATGTGGTATGGAAGTGGTGCAGGCTACATCTCCTGAAACACTTGACACTACACAGAATTAAGCATTAGAAAATGTACCTTATGAATTGGGTCTGCAGGGCAGGAGGATGCATAGGTCTTTTACTTCTCTAAGGTCTAAGCCCCATTCTGCCATCCTGCAGCCAGGCCCGCTGGAGGACTTCTTATGTGAGTAAATTCTACTGAAGAGCAGTAAGAGCAGCATGTTCTTACCCTGAATAAATACAGCTTGTTACAAAATATAGCACACAGGTTGTTTTGATAACTAAATTACAGTTTTTGCAGTTCAACTTGTATTAAGGTAGAGTGGCTTGCAGTATTTTAAATTTAGTGTTTTGGAAGGGAGCTAATTTATCTGGTTAATCTAATGTCTACAGTTAATAGATCCCACATTTACTCAAATATAGGACAAGGTGTGTCCCCCTCCGCCCCACCAGTGTATATTTGCATATGAAGCAAAGGAGAGAAACAAGGGTTTGCTGTGGCTCTGAGCATGGGGTGGGGCAGAGGAAGACTCATAGCAGCTTCCTGCCTTCCCCTCCACCTCCTCTCTGCAGTTTCTACCCCACTGCCCACCCCCTCCCCTCCCCTCCCCTGACTGTCCCTCGCAGCTCGGCTCTGGCTCCGGGTGGGGTCTTGCCAAGGTTGCCAAATCCACTTATAAGAAGCGGAATTGGGCTTGTTCTTTTAAAAAGTCACTTTAATTTTTTGAAAGTTGCAGGTTGTGGTTTTTTGGTCTTGTTTTATTTGGAGGCCGCTTATTTTGGGTGTTTTTGCAATAGATGACTTAAAAAGTTATAATTTAAAAATGGTTGTAGGAGCTGTTTTGGTGCCTGATGTTGATGTATATCAAGGGTGAGGCAAAATGACAGATCTGGCTGGCAGTCAGACTCCATTTCCCATCAGCCTTTGACCGTATGGCTTGGGCCAGTTTCCTTTGAGACCCCAGCAGCAGCCATGCTGTGATAGCTCAAGGCTGGGGTTTTCATGAGGACTAGTCCCAGCAGTGCTGGCGGGGCGTGGAGCGGCTCCAGAGCTGGGCTGGGATCTTGCAGTGG